GAAAAAATAGATTTTTCATATGTTTTACTATGTGATCGACAAAAATTACGTAGACTTTTGTCCAGTGAGTGTATGTTTATTTTTTATCGGCTGCCAATTACTGTACTGTATGTGAAAATTTCTCGTTACGAGAACGTATAAATTAACTATTCAATTTATATCTTTTCCTGAAACACCACACGTATTCTTCCTAACCTTCCATTATGATCAATAAATGCTTTGTATCGTATCAAAGTGCTTCTTTCTGTAACAGTTCTAACGTCTCCTAATGTCTCATTACCGGCGTAAACGAATGTACAAACAGCATGTAAGCATGATCGTAACTCAATCACCGAACGCTCAAACATGTGTTTTCAATGACTATTCCGGTCTCCTCTGAAGTAACAAATAAAGAATTTCAACATTCCCGTAACACTAAATTTGATGTATTGAAACTGTAAAGCTGTTTAAAACTGACGCGTAACTGAACAAGCGAGGTTTAATTGCAGAATTAATGCTGTAATGTTGAGACCGAGTAATGGGATGTATCACATGATATCCATATATGGCACCAATACTGCCTCGATATGTTTTCTTGTCTCGCAAAACTCGTGTGCCTCTCAACAGCTTACAACGACGTTTTGAAATTGCTTTAACCACGACGCCGTGTAGCATAAACTACTCGCTTTAGTATTAGACTACTACTACCCTCAAATGAGGCATTATTCAGAGTATTAATATTACAGTATAAGCACAAAAAGCAGCTGATCAAGAATATGCCATAGCATGATGTTTGTTATGATAATTGGACAGGAGTGGAACAGAACATTGAAAAAGCAGTTACACTGTATCAGAAAGCTGCTGATCAAGGGGATGCTGATACATTATATAATTTTGGTGTTTGCTTATGAGCATGGAACAGGAGTTAAACAGAACATTCAAAGGCAGTAGAGCTATATCAGAAAGAAGCTGACCAATGGCATGCTGCAGCACAAAATAGTCTTGGTGTTTGTTATTACAGTGGGATTAGGAGTGGAACAAAACATTCAAAAAGCAGTTGAGCTGTATCAGAAAGCAGCTGACCAAGAAGTTGCTGATTGCACAATTTAACTTTGTTTGGTAATCATGTGTAATATTACTAGTACGTTACCACGTGAATTACACAAGATGTATTCAACATACGTTATGTCACAATTTCTCATTCTTGTTATTATTTTCATCTCTCCTCTCTTTTAGAATTTCATATATTGTCATGGAAATAGCAGCGGCAGGAACCATCCACATGATTCTCACCGTCATGCCCCTTACAAACACTTTTGGCCCCCCTTCATGCCTGTACATATAAAGAAACAGCCGATACGGTGAAAACGATGTCACATTTACTGTCGAGTTTAAACGCAGAGCTGCTGATGATGATGCATTGCGTGGACCGCACTGTAATTGGTGCGCGGTTTGGTACCACGTTTTGATAACGTCTAGAATATTAGTCAAGCAAGCGGCTGTGCTAGTGGATATAGCCGACGATATAAGATAGGCTTGAAATGGAAGGGTCGACGTGAGAGACGTGTGTGATAAAGATACTGCATCCGCGGTTTCTACGACTGCTGCCGCTGCTGCTGCTGATGCTGCTGATGATGATGGTTTTGCGTCTAAGGACGAGCCGGTTATAGCTGGATTGCGTAACCAATCAACACTTTTACCTGCGGTTCTATCTTATTCTTGTCATTATTATCATTTGTCCCAATACCTTCTTTTCGCGCTTCTCTTATCCCATAATTTCTTTCCGCCTTTGCTTCTTTATCCGCTCACCACAATCCCGCCACATGTTTACATTTTTCATACGTAACAAAATAAATCACCGAATGCGGCACAAAAACGAACAAGCTTATCCAATAACCACGAAAGATGCCAGGGATACCTTCACGCAAGAGGATGGTTTTTATAAGCGGTAAAGGATGGGTTGGTGGAGCGGATGCGGGTGAATTGGGGGATTTAGTCGAGAGCTTATTTGAGAAAAAGCACTATGGTTAGTATGGGATGCGATTCACCAAGGGATGACGTGAGAATGTGATGGTGAATTCACTTGTAGCGTCTATCCACGTTAGAATCTTGCACATTCGGTATCGCACTCGTGAACGTAAATTCTGTTATTCCTCTCGCTTCTGTGATTCGATTTCTTATTATGCTACGATTCATTCTGGAAAACTTACCCACGTTCCATCTCCGATTTGCGTTCTGCTCTTGACGACTTCCATCAGAGTCCAGAACAAACCGCTTACCACTTCTGCTAGTACTGCAGATATTGTATGGTTTACAAAAGAGTTTCTCGAAAGCGGATGATAAGAAGACATGATGCTTGTATTAGCATTAAGTGGTATTATTATTGTTATTGTTATCATTATTAATTTCGCTCGTTTCGCTCCCATGCTTATCTATCATAGCTTTGGTATAATCATAAACAAACAAATATGTCGACAAGGCGGGAATATTAAACATTGTTGCGAATCCCAAGCCCATTGTAGGGTTCCCTAATTCTCGTGTGCTTGATGATTTGTTTCATTGGGATTGACGAAGGAGAGGCTTGCGTGCGGACTCGAAAGCTCTTTTTTTTTTTTTATTCTCTACTATTAGATAATAATTTTCTTACAACTTACATTGATCATTTACACCCATTCACAAAACCATGTCTACTCCAGACACGCACACAATCTTTGATTCTTCTCTCGCCTCTTTAATATCTCGTCTCGTCACGCATCCTCTCTTTTTTAACTCGATTAGATTTGATCGACCAATGATTTTTGGTTGACAAACAAATCTTGCTTTATTTCGGTAATTAATATTATTGATTGATATTACTGGTGATTGTATAATGGTTCAAATACGGTTGATTGTTAGAATCGTCCATTAAAATTCCTTAACAAAATTTTTTTTTGGAATGACTATTTTACTAACGGCAATAAAACATGACACACATTATGAATACCAAATTAATTATTTTATACAATAGTCGCTTTTCCCTTGTTTCTGTCTTCCCAACTGTTCAATGCTGTCTGTAATACACTACTTTGTTATTGTGTTGATGACATTTATGTGGAGAGAATGTGACGGTGACCTTTATGTTGAATGAATGTGACGATGACCTTTATGTTGTGATGACCTTTATGTTGTGATGGCCTTTAATGCTAATGCTATATTTTCTTTAGACTGCCAGGCAATTGGACATATATGGTCATACGAATTATTCATCCCCACACTTTTGCTTCGCGTTAATCGTTAATAGTATCTACCACGTTGCTGTTCCGATGCTTGTCGACTATTTCCTCATTTCTTGTGCCTAGACCTAACCGAAATTGTTCATTCACTATTTATCCACTGATACAACTATCTGTCATACTCATAAGCATAAATAAAATATGCTGTGGAATATATAACAAGTTTACTGTGTGTTTGGCCACGCATCAAGTCTTTTTTGGGGGGGAGGACAAATTAGTAACTGAATTGAGATAGCAATGCTCTAAACCAGTCAGGAAATGCAATATATAAATTTTAAAAAATCCAACCACTTATTAACTACTTTAGCTTCGCACGCAATTCTTCTCTTCCATGTGCTCGTTCCAGAGAGTCAAAGAGCTAACAAATATATTACCGCCTTTTTAGCACATAATACTAAAAATAATAAGTTACGAACAACTTGAAAACCCAAAAAATACATTAACCTATTTTCGAAAAGTGCCCAACTCTTTAGATTAGCATTTTAAAAATACATATATATATATATATACATACACACACACAACCATGACAGCTGTCGACTCGACACCGAGTAAGTAACGGAGAAAGAGGGAAAAAAAGAATGCAAAAGAGTTTCTAAACCTGTCGTCCATAGTGCACATTCTGAATACAATTTATGAATAAGCAACGCAATACGACAGTACAATTGCTCATCTCACTGTCCCTTTTCATTAATGCAGAATATCTATGCGCTACATTTACTTACATAACCACTCTTCGTTCCATATAATCTCTTTTCTGCCTCTCAGACACGTTTTACATATCTCAACGAGCTGCAAATGCAATAATAGCCGTAGTAGCAAACTACCACATCTCAATTGAAGCCTTAGAAGCCATAAATGCTTTCCTTGATGAATTCCTCTATTCTATCCTCAACACAGCCCATTCGTTAGCACTCGATCGCATAAAACGCTCCATTTCAACAGTTCTCCCCACCAATCTGGGCAAAAAAGCCATACAAGAAGCCGAGCTTGAACTCAAAACCTATGTCGAATCCGGTGCATCCGATCACACCAAGGAACGAACTGTTCATATAACTCCGTTTCCTCTGCAAAAAGTTTACGAGCAATTCAGGGTAAAGTGTCAATATTTTAGTACGCTCGGGGAAAAAGGAGCTGATGAACGTGATCATCATAATGTCCCGGATTTGTATGGCACCGAAGGAATTCATATTGCTCCTAGCCTGGCTATCTATTTGACCGCCATATTAGAATATGTCGGGGAGCATGTTTTGATTATGGTGGCAAAGATGAGCGAGAAAAATAACGTAGAGGTGGCGAGGCTAAAGGAAGTACATGCTGCTTTGACACAAGACGCACAAGTATATTCTTTGTTTAGAAGAATGAAGCTGAGGGAACGTTTGCAGGTATTTTTTCGATTGAAAAAAAAAAAAAAAAAAAGACTTTCATGATGGTCATGACTAAACGCAATTAAGGTCTAACAATGACAACATTAAAGTGTTGGTGTACATCCAAACTTTGTTTAGTTGCGAACTAGGTAATTATATTTGACAATCACTGATAGTTATTTATACTTTTATAGCTCGTCAGCCCGAACCCATCAGGTCCATCATCACCAAATTTTCCAAGTAAGTTGTCTTCATATGCAAGCACGTAAACTATTGTGTTATTGTTTCGGCAACTTACTCATTCTGCTCATTTTACCAGAATCTCCATTATCCTCACCGACCTCATCTGGTATTTCCAGCGGGCGGCCATCATCAGACTCACTCTATAATTCGAATAGTGCCTTTCGGTCTCCGCCTTATAGTCCGTTGTCATCACCTACTGGAAACCGTGGATACGAGAATGGGAATGATGGTGAGTATGAATAAAAAACGAGCGTCCGCAACATGAAGCGGAATTATTCAACATGAATATTATATGTTATTATTGCTTCAACGCTAGTCAGCCAACTAATTCCCGTTGCGTCACTTGTAGCATCCCAACAAAGCATACCTCAACAGACAATGATTCGCCACACCTCTGCTGATGGGTCCCTTAATCGAAGAGAACCGGATCATAACAAAGAAATGAGGAGCACAAAGAGTATGCAGAGTTTGGGAAATCCAGCACAGCGCACTGCTTCTAGCGAGGTAAATGTCGTTCTGTTGAGAATTGGTGTGGAGAAAAACGTATAAGAGAACGCACAGACTATTTGGCTTTTATTTCTTTGTCTAATGTCTTTGCTTTTTGTTCATACAGGAAGCAAGAGAAAAAGCAAAATCGCTGGAACATCTAATTATGTCTGATTCAAAGACTACTGTGAAAGTAACTTTGACACCTAACCGGTTAATTACGATTGAGGTATGACCCGTGCTTTGAGGTGATAAGCTCTGTAATGGTAGTATCATTTATCAACATCTGTTTTCATCTTTTTTTTTTAGAGCGTAAAAAAAGCTCCTCCAAGACCAGTCCCTCGCGCACCCGTATTACCCGGCTCCATACTTCCGGTCAATGGATCAAGCACTAATGATGACGATATCTCTGACGACGAGCTAATGTATCCTGGACAGAAACGCAAAAAGAAGGAGCAGGAAGAGAGTTTTATTGAATTTCTTCGAAACACTAGTCCCGAGGATGTTCTAGGGAACTCAAAACCAGCACCGAAGAGAAGCAACACTGTAAAGAGAGGAAGAATGAATAAATTAGAGGCGATTTCGGAGGCACCGAGACAAGGGGGGAAAGGATCTACTAATGGATCATCAAATTACAGACCGAGTTCGGGGAAAGGCTTCTCATCTACCTCACCAACATTACAATCTCGATTTGAAAACAAGCAATCGCTATCTGAGAAACCTTACTCCACTAGTTACAGTTCTGGATTTCAATCATCACAGACCAAAACTAGACGGCGACCCGATCCATTATCTATCGACGACGACGACGATGATGATTTCTTGCCAGTGCCAGGACAGAGAAAACCGCATTCTTCTCAGGCTTTAATGGATTTCCTCGCGACGACACCACCGGGTGAAAAAACGTCGTTTAACGATCCATTTAGGGAACAGAATAAGAAAAAGTCATCAGCTGCCACTACAACAAAATTTGGCAAGTTTTTCTCGCGTTTGCGTAAGACTTCGTTTTCTGACGACACAAGCAGCATCACAGGATTATATAATGGTAATTCAGCAAATTCCTCTGTCAACACACTTACGAGTTCACATACGTTTCCTTCAAGTGCCGGCCGTTCGCATGCAGCGCCAAAAGCACGGTACATAAAAATCGAAATTCCCGAGATACCGACACAGCCTCCACTTCCTGCTGAACCTAGCGTATTTGATCAAGTCGAAGTACAGGGACGACATGCTAGGAATCTAAGCAAGAC